TATTATTATTATTATTATTATTATTATTATTGTTATTATTATTACCACCATGCCTCAATTTTTTTTAAGGCAGGAAGAATAGACTTCATTTTCACAGTGCATTATACGAGTGTCTCAGCTCAAAAATAGGCTCATACGCTTTAGAATGTTTTATTACATTGAATTAAAGGCCTTATGTCATTGCGATATCATCATCAGCCTCGTCAGTGAAGATGATGGTAATGATAATACAAAGTGTCAAAAAAAAAGAGGACATATTTAAGGAGCAATAATTACCTGTCATTTTTTAAACCAGTTTCAACATAACTTCAATGAACTAAAATTCAGCCAAAAAGACGTAGGCCTACATGTGTCAAAACGAAAAGAAAAAAAGATTGTTAGAAACATATCAAGTTTTAAAATTTCAATCAAAATTGAGTGAACAGCAAAACTTTGCAATTTCTTAAAAATAAACCATGTAATTATAGTGAGGCAGCGTGGTGGAATCAGGCTCTCGTCAAAATAATCAAAATGAAAAAACTTGCATTTTTTCGCTTGTCTGTGAATTTTTATACAATTTTTTGTTTTTTGGCCCAACACCATTCATGCCAATTAAAGAACTCATTTCTGTGTGGATTTTTCTGAAAAACGTTGATTAAAGGCACAAAAAAAGAGGAAATTTTCAGTTACCACAGACTCTTAAGCAAAGGAAATAATGAATCTTTGACACCCATTTTCTCATTAATTTTTCCTCTAAAAACAGGTGACCCCCAACTCCTTCATTCGCAAATATCTTGACTTGTATTCAAGATGAAAGGATATTTTTTTCATCAAAATAAACACAAGTGAACAAGCTTTAAGATGATACCAATAACTCTGCTTGCCCGAAAATTGACGAGAGCCTGACTCCACCACGCTGCCTCACATTATTGTTCCATATTAAACAGTCACTATTTGTGCATTGAAGAACAAAATTATACAAAACTGATATTGCCAAATAAATCTAGGAAAGTGATTTGAATCTCCAGGTGTTGACGATATTTCTCTCTGTACAAACTCCTATAGGATACTGCACATTTTAAATAACTATATGGTATGTTTCTGAGTCCATTTCTTTGGACCCGCTGTTCAACATTGAGTTTCAACTTTTCGATTGTTTGTGGATTGTTTCTATAAAAAGAAAAAAAACCCCCACA